TTCATTTTAAGTTTTTCTCCAATTAGACAGTAATTGATTGCAGATGGTGGGGTTGTTCTAATTTTAGTTTCAATGAACCTTCTGCCATTTGGCACTTATGCCCACGCATTTCTATGATTTGATCCTCCAGAAACCCAAAACTCACCGTTGTTCACGTTTGGGTGAATATGAATCAATGAACAGTAGTCAAGTTTGCCAGAGAGTGTTGCATTTGATTTAATTTCAGCTATACCAACATATGTGTCTCCTACCCGTGTACAGATTTAGCGAGATAAAGCAAACTTTGCAAAAAAACCAAGCTTGACATGTTTACCTGCTTACTGTCGACAAAAATTATTTTCACTTCTAGACACTAAACAAAATCAATATTGATTTATATTATAAATTCAGTAATTTGTTATTAATAATTTAGTTGTTTAGAGATAACAAATTTGCGACGGTCGAGTACAGATGACATTACGTCACAAATTTAATCGCAGTTAACATCAATCAGACAACAAAAAAGCAAAAAAGATCATAAGGATAACTATATATGAAAAAGCCAACGATGAAAAAAAGCGATGTACTTTCTTGACCTTCAGCTTTTTAGATTTTATTTTTGTCACATAGATTGACATCACAAAAACTCAAACCATTTTTTACCTTGGTAGTATAGTATTTTAACGTGCAAAAAGTATATATTTTTTTCTTACAGAAATACACATTGATGCTTTATGCTGCGTTGCTGTACCAATCTAGCGTTTTACTATTTAGTTGCTCGTTGTATTAAAAAAAACTGTATCCTGTACATTTTTCATGTATTGATGAGGGATAATCACGTATATTCTTTAGTATGCCCGTTAAATTATTGCACTTTCACCTCTAATTGATTAGAAAAGGTCGAATTCTTTTTAACCTTCAGACAAAAATAGACATCCCGAGTTAGTAGCTATATTAATTGAAAAAAATTGAAACACTTTAACTAGAAGGTATTTAAAAAACAGGTAATTATCTCTAATTTTCGTTTAAAAACGTCTCTTAAGAACCATTTTCTTTTAAAAAAATTAAAGGAGGATTACACACTCAAGATGAAATAATTGATCAAAGTAAATCTGCATATATTTTACATTTCTCATTTTCGCTGCCTCAAATCTTTAAAACCAGACAAAGTAACGGAAGGTATTTTTCTTCTGTCTAAAAGACGAAACACGGCAGAGGATTTTGAACCGACTTGACTTTTTGTTAAAAACATCAATAAGCTCTGCTGGTGTGTACTCTACAGTTGATAAATGCTTTGAAAGCTTTGTACTTTTTTGTTGTCTGATGCTCCAATGAGACAATTTTTCATCTTAGTTCGATGAACCTGCAATTGTATCCTTAACCTCTTCCTGATTATCAGACTTCATTGGAAATATATCCTGAGCGCATCTTCTCATTGCATATTCACTTGATTCATATTATCTGAAAAAGTGACCGTGTGAAATATGACTACCCTTCTTTTTTTTCCAAAAAATGAAATCTTTCACAGTTTTTGCAATTCAGACTTCTGTTTGCATTTATTCTCTATTAATTTCTTCTTTATTTTCTAGCTTGAAAAGTAAATTAAAGCCGCGCGATTAGAACAGAAGAACAGAAGATTCAAATAAATAAATATATATATATATATATATATATATATATCTTTCCTACTTTGTTCATGAACTTACGAAACTTAGAAACTTAGATGCCAATCTCATTTACAGGCCCTGCTGTTCCTGCTGCCGAGCTACTCCAACGGAAGATATCCACCGCCTCAAATGCTACTTGGGATTTCCTCTCCAACGATAACCTCAGCAACCTTTCCTTTTCAAACATAAATAACGTAAACAACAACAACAACAACAACAACAACAGTAATACCATCCAGGGGGTGCCGGTGGTTGCGCAACGTCCTGGGAGGCGTCCGCGCAACTTCACACTGAGTTTGAACAAAGAAGGAGGCGTGGTTGAAAACATCGCAGGCAGCGGAGACCCTTTCTCCCCCTCTACCCCATCAAACCTCGGTGGTGAGATTAGTTGAAACATATTTTATTCTATAGCTCATTAATAGTTTTAATTCAAAATGAAAAAATCCAATTGATTGGAGTTGCACTCTAGAAAAAAGTTTCCTAAGAACCATAAGTTGCCAGAATTTTGACAGCGTTAATTTTGCAAAAAAAATATCAAGTATTGTACGAGTGACTTTAAGGACCAAAATCTGGTTAGAAGAAACCAACAATTTACCAACAAAAAAATAAAATTAAGTTTTTTTTTTAAAAATCGATTGAAAAGACTTTAATTTGATATATCACTCGGTACCATTTGAAAATTTATTAGCTGATTTGCGTATCAGTGAGTCAGTTAAAAACTAGAATTGAAGATAGTCTTCCTCGCCACTTCAAACTCAAACCCTAGTGAGATTAAACTAATGCTTCGTTGTTTATTTTTTATTAATTATGACAACCTCAAAAAAAAACTCATGGGTGGTCAAAAAAAGCCGTATTGATGGCGATTTGGGATTTTGAAAAAAATCAGAAAAGTTGCATCAGTTTCGAGAAAACGGTCTGAAAATTGAATTCCATTATTATTATGGTTTTCAGGCACATTTTGTTTGTTGGAAAAATGACTTAAATTAATTTGTTTCTTTCATTTGTAAAAGCGGCAAAAACAAAGAAATTAAGAAAAAGGATACTGCATTCCTTTTTTTAATATATATTAGACACTTTGAATCATTTTCAAATCTCTATTCTGGGTGAGATACTTTTCGTTTTTTTATTTATCCCGCAAAACGTTTTTTTGTTCGCATTAAAAAAAATTGCAACTGGTAGTTTATATCGAGAGCGGAGTTTTGGAGCAAGGAGGAAATGTTTTTGTTTCAAGTTTCAATATCAACAACTACTGTCTGTATTCGATCCTAACCACCGCTGACGATTGAGTCTTGAATAATTCTATTTGCAAAAAAAATCCTACTCATAAAAATGTTTTCAGAAAATTTTTCCGTCATCAGACCACTCGATAGCGGTAAAGAACTAAAGCGTGAGTTAATTTTTTAAACAAAATTCTAGGTAATTTACAGAAAATTTCTGGAGTGTCGCACGGATTCCTGGAAATCATATTGAAAAACTTTCCTTGAGCACTCGGATTCCAAATTTTCAGGAACAATTTTCAAAACACTCCAGTGTAAAAAAAACCATTCTGGCTCTAGTTAGCGGAAAACGAAATTTATGAAAAAGTAAAGACTTTGTTTCCAGCTTTAGAAACAGTATGTTGATTCAGAACATTCTGCGGCCTCTGTTGTAATTCTCCAATTTTTGATTGATTTTTTAGAAAAACTATCAGCCTTTGAAGATTATATGATAATAATTCTGAAAAATAAAAACGACAGTCTATGTATTTCAAAAATTACCAACTAATAGAATTAAGACCAAATAATCGTCACAGGGCTGATAGTTTTTCTTATGAAACCCATCAAAACTCATAGAAATTTCAAATTCGAACTTTTCACTATAAAATAAGGAGGTATAGTGGAGAGATACAGTTTAACTGAAGTACGCTTTATTATTTAGTTAGACTAAAGATATTGGGTTCATGCAGTTACAATTATTAGATTTCAATTGATTCCTATTCAGGGGCGGACCTAAAAGTTTTTCGGAAGGGGGTTGGACATTTTGTAAGACGACCAATATGATTTTCTGAGCACCCTTAGTACACTAAACAGACTAAAAAAAATACAAAATTTTGAATGAAAAATGTAAAAAATGCCGTTTTGGGAACTTTTTGGACAGTTTTCCGGCGCGCGACTCCCCTCAAACTTCCCCTCAAACTATATACTGACGCTTACGGCGCAAGTCGAAAAACATTAGAGTTGGTCGGCCGAAAAGTAATATCATAAAATAGTACTAAAGAAAAAGAAGGGAAAGAGGGACGTCCCCCAAATGCCGCCTCTGGTTTAGAAGGTTTTCAGATGCAAGTTTCAGGTTTTGAGCACTCATTAGTATATGGACCACCCAAACGGTTCTCTTTTGTTATTTATTTGCTTTTTTCTGCCAATCGACCCTAAGCTTTTTCTCTAGCTATTTTTTGGGTAAACCCCCATCAAAAAATGGCAAAACCTTTTTAATCTATTGCGCAAAAAATTTGCATGCAGCCCCAAAAATTATATTTGGAAGGTTCCCAGGACTTCAATAATTTTTCAGGAAAGCTCGGAAAATCAATTTGGTCGTTTTGAAATATAATGACGAACTATTCAAAAGGTTTTGAAAAACTCCTCTCTCCCCCTCGAAAATATACCCATTACCCTTAGCTAATGTCTGATTTGGCTTCTAATGTAGCTTAATTTAATCTCTAATCGCTAAACTGCTAATTTGGATGCCTTTGAAAAGCAGTTCTGATTGATTAATTTTGCTCATTCAGTTTCCTCGATTAGGCAGTTGCGCAAAACAAAATCTATGAAATAAATTGAGCATTTATATGATTTGAAGCCAGGACACTTGCTGTATTTTTATGAGAACTTTCGAAAGTTATGAAGTGTTTTTGAAATGTTAAAACACTTTACCCCTAAAACACTAACTAAAAGGTTGAAAGAAAAGAAAAATAAAAAACAGTTTTGAATTATTAACTGGTCTATGAATCAGCCATTACTAACAATAGTTCCACCGCTCCAGAGGATTGAACGCGGTCAAAATGAACATACATCAATGTCTCAATGTCTATCTTAAAAAATTGGCAATGAGAAAATTTTCATCGTTCAAGAAAAACATAGGTTGATACGTACGTGTCTCATAAGCGAGCGAGATAAAAACAACTGGTTTACGAAACCATTTATTGACGTCTGAGCTTTAGCTCGCCTTCTACTATCTCGTAAGATCTTTACAAGGTCAATCGACCAACAGAAAGTTTACTCATCGTAGTGAGTTTAAATATGACATTCACCCTAAGGGAAATTAAAACAAAAGTTATAAGTCCTGTAGAGTTTATAAAGTCCCAATGGACTGGTTTTAGTTTTATAGTTATTAGGGCACTGTCTGTCTCTCTCTCTCCACCCTTTAATTTTTCTCCTGTGTTGGTTTTCATTTTCCTGTTCTGCTCTGATGGGATTTCATACCTTCCTCGTTGTTGTTGTCGTTTTCTATCTGTTTTTCGTGTTCCTCATGTGTCGTCTCGTCGTCCTTTTCTTTTTCTTCATTCTCCTTTTCGTTTTTTTCCCTCAAACAATAAAATTTCAGCCTTGTCCTTGACTGGGCTGTCCACAGGGGAAATGAGATCGATGATCTCGGTTATTGTCGAGGGTGTGCGGTTTCAGTCGTTTTGGAGAAGGTGCCGAGTTTTCTGATGTTCTTGAAGACTGTTCTTCGTCATCTTCTTCACTTGACGAGGTTTTCTCGGGGTTTTTGTTTGATTTATTGTCCGCGTTTTCCTCCATTTGAAGGCTCATTCCAGGTTTAGGTTGCGTTATGTGTGTGTGGCGGCCACCCGTTATTTTTCCTGTGGGCTTTGCCCGTCTCTCCGTTGGGCTGCTCTGCGGTCCTGCGGATTTTTTTTCTAGTAAGTTGCTTAGGGTGATTTTCGAATATCGAATTTTGTGGGGCGTTGGGCTGCTCGATGTATAAAAAACGTAAACTAGGTCCGGATCTGCACGCAGATTTGTACGCAACATAATCACTTAGTCTTGAGGTTCTGCAAGGCCCGTATTTTGAAGGATTAAGAACGAATGCGAATCCACTTTTTCGTACTAACCTTGGTGATTTCCCCAACGTTTGGACCCACGCGGTGTGTGGTGGATAAGTTCAGATTTTTTCTTCGATGGTTTTATATTTTTGTTCAAAGTTTTTGGGTCCTCCATCTTTGTTTCGCTGCGTATTGCCTTCTTTGCTACCTGTTCTTTCCGTTTTTTGATGTTGTTATCTACCATTTTGTGTACTCCCTTGCATTTTACCTTTAGCTTATCGTTATCTAATGCTATTGCTCGTCGGTTTTTCACACCTGGTTTTTGATTTTGTTGGCTTGAGGAGTTGGCTTTGTTGGCTTGTTGGCTTCATCATCCGACCACGTCTGCAGATTGTGCATAGTTTCGTCTGGTAGGGGCGTTTGTGTGACAGTTTTTTGATTTACAGAAGCGTGTTTTACTTTTTCCCAAGTCAAACAGTTAGGGGAGCAACTTGTTGCTCAATTTGAAAATAGAGTGGTTGGTTTCCTTCCCATATAATCTTGCAATGGTGAACTTTTTGTTTATCCGTGTGGATTGATTCTTAGTTTTTATAAATTTGGCTAGGTCTGAGGCTAATTAAAACGGTATGTATTTTTGTCTATTCTCATAACCTCTAATCTACGTTTCAGTGTTTGAATCATTCGTTCGACTACCCCTATTGATCTATGATCGTTTACCGGTGCAAGCAATATTTTTAGATTATTTGAGTTACAGAGCAATTGAAATTTTTTGCTACGAAATGCTTGTGCTTGGTCACGTTTTAATCTTCGGGCACCCCATTATACGAAATGCATAGTTTCGTACAATTTATGACAAGGTCTGTAGTTTTGTTTGAAACAGCCTTTGCTGTAGAAAATTTTTGTCCATTTTTTATTGCAATCAAAATTTAAGCATCTTTTTTTAATTCAACGGTAAGTGGCCCGGCAAAATTTAATTGGACTTCTTCGTTTGGTTCTACCACTGGATACATTTGGAACAAGTTTTGTTCTCCTATTTTTTGTTTGAAGTTTTTACCTTGGTCAGTGCGGTGTCGGCAGGATTATTGAGGGGTGTTTGTTTGGGAACCACACATGATGGCACAAATCAAACATAGCTGCGGATCCAGTCTAAAACTGTGTTAAATATATACTGTCTAAAACTGTCTGTCGCAGTTGAGTCGGAATCACTATTCTTTCATGGATTAGGAAGCAGCCTCCCTCACTTGCACTCTGTTCCTAACATTGAACCAGTATTATCCATTCGAAATCCGAAATCTTGATTGCCTCCCAACCGCGTTTCTTGACAAAATTGAAGAGCTCCGATCTGTTTTGATGGCGGCGG